TCCTCCCCTTCTTGAAAATGGGGACCACGTTGGCCCTTTTCCAGTCCTCCGGGACTTGGCCCGTGCACCACGAGCTTTCAAATATTCCCACCAGTGGTTCTGCAATGATGTCAGCCAGTGCCTTCAGCACCCTCAGATGGAGCTCATCCAGGCCTGCCGACTTAAAGGCATCCAGTTCTTCCAAATGACTCTGCACCATCTCAGGGTCTATGCATGGTAGTCTGGCACCTTGCTGCTGCCTCTCTACAACCCCAGTGAGACTTGTCGTGCCCCTCACTTAGGAACACTGAGGCAAAGAACTCGTTGAGGAGTTCAGCCTTGTCCCCTCTGTCCGTCACCAATTGTTTCTGCCAGGGATCCTGGTTTTCTGTTTCCCACAGGAAAACAGAGAAAACCACGGATTTCCCTTTTTTTTTTTTTAAATCAGAGAAAACACGGATTTTGCCTTTTAGAAGAGAAACCCATGGATTTCCCTCTTTTGAAAAGATTTCTGCAGGCTGGCTGAGTTCCAGCCAACAAGAGCTGTTTGCAAACGGGGTGCAAACCCTCAACCCTGTGGGGAGGGAAAGGGAGGGAGGGAAAGGCGGGGCCCAACACTCACACTTATGAGGCTGCTTCAGGCTCACTTCTTGCTGGAGGTAAGTGGGGCTTGGGGGTTGTGAAGCAGGGCTGGAGGGGCAGCTGGCTAGGGGCTGAGGGAGTGGGGAGGTTTGCAGCCAGCAAGACACTGGCCAGGAGGTTTGCAGCCTCTCCACTCAGCTGGAAACCCCTGCTGCTCCCAGCTGGCTGCAAGCCTCCCCACCCCCTCTGCCCCCAGCCAGCTTGGGCACTCCCGGGCCAGGCACTCCGGCTGGGAGTGGGAGTTTGCAGCTGGCAGGAAGCAGCAGGGGTCTGCAGCCAGCCGAGAACTCTGGCCAGGAACAGGCAGGCTGCAAACCCCTCCTGGCCGGAGTGCCCAGTCAGCTGCAAACCCTGGGTCGCAAACACTGAGCTCCCTGCCCTGCTGCCCTCCCCCAGGCTCTCCAGAGTGCAGCGTGTGCGATTGGTGTGGCAGGGCACAGCGGGGCCATGCACGAAAGCTGCCTGCTGCTGCAAGCTCTGTGCTGCCCTAGCCACAGTTGCTCTGCATGCATGGGGGCAGTGCATATCTGCCCTGCCCCCACCGCCCCACAGATCTGGAGGGCGTGGGTCCCCCCTCCCCTCCAGGAGTGCATACTGCCATTGGGAGCTGGCCCTGCCCGAGCCAGCGGGGAGGGGGTGTGTGTGTGTCCTTACTTCCTGGTAAAGCATGGATTGGGCTAACATCATTTTGTGTATTACTTAGTTATGGTGTATATCCATAACTTTCTAATTTTAAAAAGGCTTATTAAACCTCAGTTTCCTAGGTTTTATACTTACCCTAGAAAGCATGTGCACTACGTATGCATTTACTGTTTAAATCCAGTATAGGTTAGTTTGCTCTTGAAAGAGAAAACAAGGGGGCTAAAATGTCAGCTCAGTGACACCTGGAAAGCTCTACTTTGGCCAGTAAAGAGAAGCTATCTTTAGTCCATACTAACAAATTACTTTCCTCCTACACACCCACCCTTGCCCACAGTACTTCAGCTTGCTGAGATGCTTAGTTATGTGGGCAGCAGAGCTAGAGTATAAGGTATGAATTTTCTCACAAAAAAAATCCATTTAAATTTAGCGCCAGGCTGCAATTTACTAAACAGCTGTGATTTTATTTCTTAGAAGTCACACTTTATCTGTTAGGGTTGCTTAGGTCACCTTTAATGCAAGCATAAAACTGTAGGGACAATTTCTATTAAAAACTTACTGGGATGCACTATCTTCAAAATATTCAGTTAATGTTCTTCTGGATGCTTTGGATAAGGCAAAGCCATTTTGTTTTAACTACATAAAATGAATTTGTGTATTCAAGATAGTCTACTATTAACATTATATACTTTAATATCTTGGAACATTGTAAATAATCTTTTCAACTTTGTATTAATTTTTATTCTGAACTGCAAGCTTTTTAAAGACATTGTAGAAGTGTTGTTTAATAATGCACTTCTTACCTGAAATTCCATTCAAACCATTACTTCTCCCAGAAGAGGTAGATGTATAGGAAAGCTTAGGTCTCTTTGAATCACTATCCTGCTGCTGGTTATGTATTCTTGAATATGCTCCCTGAGTTCTCTCAGATTCACCATACCAAGTAGACGTAAAAGGAGAGGAGGAAGAGGCAGACTGATTTTTTTTTTTTTTTAAACAAAAAAAAGAAAAAAGTTAGTAAGGGAAATAATTTTATGAGAGAGTACCTGCAATCCAAAGATTTAACATACAACATACCTACCAGGACATATGTGGAACCAGACTGATAAAGTCAGTAAATAATGTACTTCAAGGGAAGCATGTGGATCTTTAAGCAGTAAAAAGACTTAGTGTATGTTAGGACTTATGCCAGTACTGCTAATTAGTAGCCCAACTCAGGGAACTTTTCTTTTTTCCACTATTTTATAACAAAGACAGAGAACAATGCTGGGAAACCATGTCTAAACCTCATGATGTTACTGGAACATCTGATCTGATTTTTCACGTCCCCTCATTTTTAAAGGAAAATTTCAATAATGTTAGGACTGCTTGCATTGTTCATAAACTGTGTTAACTAATCAATTCTATACTTAATAAATAGATAATAATATTCATATTGTATTTTTCCTCAAAACACTTATCTGTTTAACAACCTAAAGTTAGTTTTAACTGGATGTTAACTGTCACTTTCAATATAACAAATGTGGACAGTATTTAAACTTTGTAAGATCAACAGGGGACCAACATTTATTTCATGCTTTGGGCCAAAGTTGGATTTTTATGTGGATCTAGACACTTCTTGTGACACAGCTAAAAACTAGCTTACTGCAGTAAGTACAAGAACCACCTAATTTTCCTGTTGAATAAATCACATTGATTCTCATACTTTGCAACTAAAAACTATTCCAAAAATCAACAGTTTCAGGAAGTCTGGTACAATGTTCCTTTGTACTGGAGTTTAATCTCTTTATTAAAAAAGCAGAAAGAAGGGCAGGGTGGCATCTTAGGGCATTTGTACATATGCTTGCACTACAGCACCAGGCATTTTTAAGTGTCTGGTGCTGTGGCGCATGCAGTTGTACAAGCAGCGAAATGTACATCAGGGCTAAGGTGCATTTTTTGCACCTGACAGACACCCGTCCTGCAGTGCCTGTCGGCTCGCGTGCGGAGAAGACTCAATTAAATTGAGTCTTCTCTGACCCACCAGATCTCCAGTGCACTGCGAGGATGAAAAAGCAGGTGTATAAATGCCCTTAGAGACCGATTAGATAGAGAGGCATGAGCTTTTATAAGCAAGGACATATTTGTCATATGCTAGAAAAGAAAGCAAATCTTAACAAGAAAACGTACCAGTTTGAAAAGCCTGCAGCACCTACTACCTAGAGGTGTAGGCCTTTTATAAGCAGAGGCTCAGCTTGCATTCCGACTACATGTGCAGTCATTCACCATGTTTTCCCTTGAAGGTTGGCAGCCCCACACTATTTGTTTTCTCACCCATACTGACTGCCTTGAAAGTGCCTCCACCTTTTAAATTGCTGTAAGAAAACAAACACCTGTTTAAAGTGTAAGTTCTCTTGTCAAAGTTTCCAAACATCTCCCAATTTTAATAGACCACAGACCTTTCAACAAGTTTCTTGCTACTGGTCCCTGCCCCCCACCCTAGGTTTTTACAGCTTTTATATTTTAAAACTGTCTTTCTTTAAATCTTTTGTGCACAATAAATTGCAACTAGCAATCTGTATATTTTGCAGGATGACTAGACAGGATTAAAGGACATTTTAGGCACAGGTTTAAGGTCCCAGCTCCTGGAACCCAGGGAGATGGAAGAGCTCAGCTTCCACTCCTATCATATCATACAAAGCAAACAAATTTTAAAGTATGATTGTAATTAGTAATGGTCTTAACTACATCATTCCCCTATCTTTCCCTTCCTCTTGAGATTAACAGTTTTAACTTAACACGGGATAACTCTCAGATCTGAAAAATCTGCTAGTAGATGAGCAGAACCCCAGGGCCTCTTCAACAGAAGCATTTGGATATTTTATTTAAGAGTTCTCACCAATCTGTTTCTGCTTCCCAAAAATCTTCCAGACCATGGACGATCAAGTGTCCCTGAGTAGCGAGTTGGAGAGGAAGTAGTAAGTTTCCAAGGAGTTTCATGGGCTTCTCTCTCTCCAATCCCCCAATTTCTACTGGAACCATGCAACAGATGGGAGTCCTAAAGAACAATATATGTATCATATGCATCTTCTAAGTCAGTGGATGCCACAAATTAGCCCCACACGCCCCGCCCCCCCCAAGTGCCACTCTGATCCCTTTCACCTGCCTGATCTGATGCTCTGATTCCCCGCCCTATCTACTATCATGTTGCCTGTCCCCTCCCCAGCCTGCTGTGTGCCAGACACAGAGGCTACCCGTGCCACTTACAGCACCCGTGCCACAAGTTGGCCACCCCTGTTCTAACTCAAGGTGGCCTTCTTAGGCATGCTTTTTGTAGACTGGGTGCAAATTAAAATGGTGGTACCATGAGTCAGCAATGTAAAAATTAAAGCGGGCATCTATTCTTTGTGCAAAGCTTTTTACCAGGTACTCAGTAGGATATGGGGTAGAGACCTAAGAAGAATTTACTCTCTTTTTTTCCCTGTCTCTTCATAAAGACAAATTAGATTTCACAATTTACCTAATTAGGTTTGTTTCTCTCCTCTTGCTGAAGGATCTGAATGAAGTCTAATGCAACTATCACACAATTATCACCTAATGCAGCAATTTCAGTTTGAGGAAGTCCAAGTCTACACCTCCCATCCCCCTTCATTTGCAAGTAGGAAAGAGGAACTTGAGGCTGAGGCCCGAATTTTGATACATTGCTAGTCAGATCTTCTAACAGTAAGACAGAGCAAAGAGATCGCATTTCAAGCATTAAAAAAATAAAATCTTTTGGCATCAAAGTAGTAACTGATGGCAAAAGCATGCTTTTTATACATGCTATGAAGAGTATTAAGGCCAACATGCAATTGCTCATCAAGGACTACTAATGGCAGTGTGGACCTTGGATTAAAAGAAATCCTGTCCTAACATCAGGAAGAACAAGTTTCAGCCAGAGTGCAGTTTGTCAACTTCTAAGTAAAGATGGCTCATTAAGAAAGTAAGGCAATGCCTAACTAAAAGATTCATCTTTTGCTAAATTTGTATGAACCTGTTTCTTAAGGGTTTGTATTTCTTTACAGAATACGGAAGCATTTTTTAAAATCTTTTTCCTTGCATTTCTTCATTCCGTCCTAAAAATGCATCATTAAGCTATGAGCATAAAAGACCTGCAAAGTAGAACGTACTAATTTTGCTTTGTATTACACAGCAAACTCTTACACACTTTTTTGTTTACTCTCCAATTCTTCTCCACTGACAAGCTAAGGGTAACCATTTCAGAGGTCCGTTATACAAATTTAGAAGGCTCTCTCTGATACTACACTAAGGAAATTATAGTACCCAAGTCAAAGTGACTTACTTATTTTTATTACCGACTCCCATTTAAAACGTAATGTGTAGGTTTAAGTCTCTACTCTGTCCTGCTGCTCAAAGTTTTAGGATGGTGGTACCATGAGTCAGGAAATGTAAAATTTAAAGCAGAAATTCTATTTTGCACAAAGATTTTTACCAGGTAGTCAATAGGGTGGAAACCTAAGGAGAACTTACTTTTTTTTTTTCTGTCTCTTCATAAAGACAAAGTCAAGCTATTCAATTATAAATATTTTGGCTTCAGAGATTAGTTGGGTTTTTTTTAAGTGGGCACATGCATTTTCTGTCCTATTTCAAAATTATTTATTTTGAAAAAAATAGTGTGTAACTGCGGAAGCTTCTAATGATATTTTATGAGTTAGCCCTCAAAAGAAATCTTGAAATTGCAGGCAACGGTGGAATTTGCTCCTTAAGATTTTGTAGATAGCTGTGGTTTTATCAGGATCAAGAGGCTGACTGTGTTATGCTGGCTTGGTTCTATTTCCAAGTACAAGTGTATGCGGTTTGTGATAAGTTTCACGGGCACAAAGCATTATCCATGTATAACAGATGTTGCCTGGAAAATGTAGGGTCTACACTGTGTAGTGGCAAAATCTAATAGTAGTACTCAAACTTAACCAGGGGAAGGGCAATGATGTTAATATTCAAATGTGATCATTTTCTTTGAGTAAACTGTAAATGTTTTATATTAGCCATAACTACTTCACAGCAATTTATGAATACCAATAAAAAGGAGCATGTAGTAAGTGACAGTTTTGTCATGAATTGCTAGCAGTTAACAGTAGAAAAGGGCATTCTAGCTTCCAGTCCCAAGCCACAGACCAGCAGTTTCCAACCCGTGGCTCAAAGGCAACATGTTTTTAACAGCCACAGAAAATTAGAAAGTTAAAACTGAGGCTTACAAGTGTCACAACCCAAAGTTGTGGGTTTTTTTGTTTGTGCGCGCTTCGGCATCGCTAAATTGTGTTCCCGCTAAATTGCAGCTCTTTTGCACGATGGAGCGTTCTGTTGCAATTAAGAACCCGCGTGCAGGAGTTTTTCCCGACAGTTCTGTAGCCTTCTTTGCATCGTGCATTTCTTTTGCATTATAGTGATGCACGGTACAAGGAAGTTCCCGCCATTTGTATTAAGATTTCCGCCACATTATTGGCCGATCTTAATATAGGCACACATGGCGGCTAGCTATTGGCTTGCTAGCCGTACAAAAGGCTTGGGTAGTTTCCGCCCAAGTCGGAGAGAGAGAAAGCACGTGGAGTTCGGGAAAGGAGCGTGAGGATCTCTAAGCGCTGCTGATCCT